TATATAAAAATAAAAACAAATTGAGCAGTTGTTGTTACTTGGAACATCCAACTCAAGTGCAAATAAACAGAACAACATTATTTTTATACTTTTCATACTTATCATACTCTAGCTAAATAAGAAAGAAAAATGTACCTTTTATACACTTTTATATAAAATTTGTGTAGATGTGTTTTTATATTTATATATAAATAAATATGTATAAAAAGTATCTGTTAGTAAGTTTGTAGTGAAATTTATGAAATAATAGGAGTTCAGCTTTAAGCAGCAAGATAATCAAACATTCATAAAGGAAAAACTTTACTTGGTAAAGATGTAGAATTTGTGTTTAGTGTGTAAATAAATAACGGATATTTTATTCGTTTGCTTTAGAAAACTTTAGCGAAAAAGTTAATTTCATTGTATTGACTCCTTTGGACTAGCTTTCTGACTATCGCATGGTAATCCAAAGAGTGTGACAAGCACTTGTTAAAACAATTAGTCACCCGAGTAATCGGTGGCTCGAGGTAATCCTTAGATAGCCGGGGCCGTCCCCCCAAAATTTTTTGGAATAATGATAGAATATCCATTGACAAGAAATTTCAGAGCAAATAAATCTGTTAATTATGTGATTGTAAACCCTTCTTAACACCCAAACTTCATTATTTGATCCTAAACCATGCCAGGCTGTCTATAAAGTTTTGGCCAGAATTATATGAACTTGATATGATCAATCAGAAGCTCATTCCTAGATCGTTTACAACTGAAGTATTTTAGTCTGATTGAACAACCTGTCTTATCTGCCGCTTTCGGTTTACAGTTCGTCTACTAAAAAAATCGTTTGCTAATCGATCCTGTCAAAATCTTTAAATTAATATTGAATCAAGCTGCTAAGGATCAAATAAATTTCCATGTTATTTCCCTCTTGTGATGAGACTGAATAATTAAAGGAACACAGTTAAGAGTTCCTCATCAATCCGTCCTAGAACGCTTGCGTATTCTCTCTTCTGATAACTTCAAATTCAAAAGTATATTTTGCTGAAATTTATACAATCTGTCCTATCTAACACCTTATCTTCAGTTTTTCTCGCTAGCTTCTCCACTTTTCCTTCAATGTCGAACACTTTCATCCAAAGTTCGAATATAATTACCTTAGAATGTAATTGCAATTCCGTATCCTATGGAGTAGTAATAAAGCCTTATTAATGTCTAATGCTTTGGTGCTACTCAATAATTGGGCCACTTACAGTGGCCTAGGAGTAAACCCAAGCAAAGACAGAACTGGTACTATTCACAACAAAGACCAAGATTCCAAGTTTCAACTTGCCGCTGTTTAAGAACTGCAGAATTATTATTTACACCAAATTGTAATGGAAACTCAACATCCAGCACAGATTCAAGAAGGCAACGGTCGCTTACTATAACTGTCGTAAGATGTTTGGAATGAAATGGGGGCTTAGTTCCAACATAGTTAAATTGGTGTACACAGCTATAATACGTCCTAATCTTACATATGGATCTCTTGTATAGTGGACTTCAACTAAGAAGAAGTTTGTTGCTATACAAAGTACTGATATCAGCATGGATTGAGATAACAGATGCTCTAAGAACTAGTCTTTCAGAAGCTCTGAACATTATATTGCACATCCTATCTATAGATCAGCATATAACTCATCCGGAAGTTGGAGATCATGAATATATGGACACGCTAAGGTTTGAAGTCTATTACCTCCAATCTTGAACCAACCATCCGATTATATTACCCCACACACGGACTTTGATATAGTTTTCAAAGTAAGAGTTCCTTCCAGAAGCGAGTGGTGTAGGGGTAACCTAACGAGCGAATATAACACCAAAATCTTTACAGATAGTTCTAAAATGAACTGCGTTGTTGGTTCTGGTGTCTTCTGTGAAGAAGCTAGGGTCTTCCCCACAACTGTGATGTCTTTCAGGCTTAAATATTTGCGACATTATCGACCTGTAGGATACTACATGACCTCAATATTCGCAACAACATTTTGTCGATAGTCAAGCGACACTTATCTCACTAAATATATGTATATACCACTTCCCTATTAGTCAGACAACGCAAGAAGAATCTGTCAAGCCTAGGTCGCCTGTTTGACATTACCCTTGTTTGGGCAGATGATCTTGCCAGAACGGAATCTGCCCTTGATATCTAACCTAGACACATGTGAAGGGGCCAAGTTATTGTGGCCCTCTTTTATGAGAAACGCAAGTAGACGAGAAACCGAAGTAGACGGGACATATCGAGTTTGATAGCAGTAATAACAGGCCCCTTCAATGAACACTGTCGCAGTTGAGAAACGCCTTCTAGGCAGTTACTTCATATCTAACCTTGGTGAGATATGTGGGTTTAAGATTACTGAAATCATGAGATCTCTCATGTTACTACATCTGACAGTGGAGTGGTCCGTTCAAAACGAAGTCTCTTCGACTCTACTTGACTGTTCGCGGGCAGTGAACTACCACGTTAACCAACCAGGGGTTTATATGACTGCGATATATTTCTACCCATAGTGAACTTTCTTTAAGTTGTTGAATTAAGGATTTTTGGACCGACCTACATATATCTAAATTAAATATTATACAAAGTGTGTATTAATGAAAATCTTTGAGTCCTATGTACGGCTTATAGGGATTCTATAAACAAGAATAGTCTGAAAATGTATATATCATATTCCAATCTTAGGAAATGTGATATTAAAACCTGATCCTATTGAAGGATTTATTTGCTATAAATCATTTTTGTTAGAGCAATAAATTACCGATTAAATAATCTAAACGAATGCTACAACTCTAGAAAAAAATTCAAAATAAATATTAACGCATAACAAAGGAAATAAAATGAATTAAATTTCTAGAGTTTGAGTTTTCTTGGGGGGTTTTCTTTCTTTTATACTTTCTAAACAGACAACACTAATACATAGCAGTAATGAAAATGAGAAAAAGGTAGGAAAACAAAGAAAATCCTTTTTTCTATAACTTAACGCAGTAAAATATCACAATTTATAGTACGGGGTTTAAAAATAAGAAAAGTAAGGAAAGAACTTGAAAGGCGCCATATTTATTTTTGTTATTTTTTGCGTATTGTTTTTACATAAATAATTTTTAATAAATTAAAGAAAATAATGAGTTTTTTTCACAATTCCAAAATGTTTTAATTATTATATTTAGTTTTTTTTATAAAAATCATGCATATTAATATAAATTTAAAAAAACTGATTGAGTTTTTAACTAATTTGCGGTGGAATAATAATATTGTGTGTGTGTTTGTATGTTTGTTTGTTTTATTATGGCCATTGTATGAAAATATAGTCTGCGCTGAAAACTTAATCGTAACCTTTTTTCAGTTTTTTTTTATTTGTTTGTTAAATAAGTACACAAGTTAATTGCGTTTTCCTCTGATTTTATTTATGATTGTTTTTTTTTATTATTATTTTGTTCGTTTTTCATTGTTGTTGCATTAGCAACTTAAATAAATTGTTTATAATTTAGAAAATACTACAGGTTTGTTTTTTTGTTGCAATGGTATTTGTTTAAATGATGCTTACACATACATACAAAAACAAGCTTTAAAATGTCGATAAATTTATATAGTTGGATCAAAAGCAAAATGGTCTAACTTTCTTGAAAGAAATTTTATAGTTTTAAGTCACTTCTGGACGATGGTTGGAAGATTTTACACAGTTCACAAAAAACAAAACTGCGAGAGAATTTTTATCATGAATGACATGTTAGAATGTTTTTGTTCTGTACGTTTAAGTCACTTCTGGGAGACAGTTGGATGATTGTACAAATTTTAAAAGATTTTGAGTGTCTTTTAGAAGTCACTGCTATGTGCTACATAATGGTCAATAGTCTAGTCTATAGTCTAGTCTATAGTCTAGTCTATAGCCTAGCCTATAGTCTAGTCTATAGTTTAGTCTATAGTCTAGTCTATAGTTTAGTCTATAGTCTAGTCTATAGTCTAGTATATAGTCTAGTATATAGTCTTGTCTATAGTCTAGTCTATAGTCTAGTCTATAGTCTAGTCTATTGTCTAGTCTATAGTCTAGTCTATAGTCTAGTCTATAGTCTAGTCTATAGTCTAGTCTATAGTCTAGTCTAGTCTATAGTCTAGTGTAGTCTATAGTCTAGTCTACAGTCTAGTCTACAGTCTAGTCTACAGTCTATTCTATAGTCTAGTCTATAGTCTAGTCTACAGTCCAGTCTATAGTCTAGTAGAAACTGTTTGTCCCGATGATTAGATCAGAATTATGCTAATTCGCAATTAAATGAATCATCAATTTAAACACCCTATCGTGTGGAAGACACTTTTGAGTAACTTCCGGTATACAAAAGGTTTTCTAAGTTAATATCCATATCATGATGACGTATACGAAGATAAATGTTTAAGAAATTATCACAATAATTACCACTAAAAATCTATTACTTTCCCTAAAAATCTTCAAAAACTAAGTTAGACCCTTTTGCTTTTTATGCAACGCTATTTGTATCTTTTAAGTTAAATATGATGTGTGTAGTAAGAAGAGAAGAGTAAGTAAGGCCTCCTCTGTTAAAAACTTAAGCATACTTTGGCGTGGCATTAAGTGCGTTAGTTGTGTGTGGAAATAATTTCAAGTTAATGACAAAATTACTTAAAGCAAGCAACTCTATTTATCTGTCTGTCCCACTGTCTTTTCGTCTCTCCATCTGCCCGTACGTTCGTCCGTCCGTCCACAACTATTTAATAACAATAAGTAAATAAGTTATTGAGGGATTGTGTGTGTATGTGGCTCGTAGCCGTCAACATGCAACAGTCATGAGGCAAATGTAAATATTTGTCAAGATAATTTGAAGAAAAATAAGTAAATGAATTAAAATACAAATGCATGTAGGTAAATTGCATTGATTTAAAATTTTCAATTCACTTTGTATTAATTTTATTACGGCAAAAAAAATACCTAAATACTTAAATATGTATAATGACAGCCATAAGTAATGAGTGAATAAATGACTTACCCTTTCTTCTTCACGTATCATTTCGGCAATTTCGGGTTTTATTTCCATGTCATCATGATGTGAAGATGAGCCGGCGCTACTGGCAGGGCCGGCAGAAGCTGAACCCGCTCCAGCAGCTGCTGCTGCCAAGGAAGCTCCTAGAGCACTGGCCATGGCGGCATGCGAATGGGCAGCATGCAGCTGCTGTTGGGCGGCAAACTGTTGAGCCGCTGCTGCCGCATGATGGTGGGGATGATGGGGATTTGCTAAAGCGGCTGCTGCCGCCGCTGTAGCAGCTGGATGCGGATGTATGGATATTTGTGGTGTGGTGGAACTACTGTTGGGTGAAGCTAATGATAGACTGCTGGTACCAGCATGAGCTGTCATAAGAGATGGCGATAGACTTCTCTCTCTGGACCGGTATGTTGCCGGTGCTGGTGTGGAGGACACAGATGAGCCCGATGTAGCTGAACCCGAACCAGAACTTGAAGAGGAAGACGATGTTGAAGTTGCACTGGCATTAGTAGCCGCCGGTTGATTGCTGGGATTTGGGGAAGCGAAAGGATTTCGCACTATGGTAGAAGCAGTCATTACTATGGGTGGTGGTGTGTTTGTTTCGGCAAATTTTTCCCGATTTAAAGGTGAGGGTGAACGTGATAGAGAACGTGCCCTTAAGCGATCCTCATCGATCAGTAAACCATCCCTAGAACGCTTGCGTACTCTCTGTTCCGCTAACTTCAAATCTAAAGCAGAAGTAGTTTTAGCTGATATTTGTATTCTAGCCCTCTTGGCTTTAGAACACTCCACCTTATCCTCTTCATTATCATCGTTTTTAGCCGCCGCCACTTCTTCCTCATCCTCTTCATCATCGAACACTGTCATGCGCTGTTCGGGTATTAACTGTTGAGCCGCCATGCCGCTACCATTAGGACTCACCTCCGCTAAACCGCGTATTTTTAACATTTCGGCCACTTTTAATAATGGATTAATCTGTTCCTGGCTAACATTGATCTCTCCCTTATACATAAACTCCATTAAAGCCTTTAACTCCTGCCATCGTACATCACGCATTATAACAATGGGATGCTGGCAAGGATTATCATAAAACAAGGCCTGGAAGTAGGGGGAACAGGCCGATAAAATCATTTTGTGTGCCTTTATCGACTGACCCTCACAGGCTAAAGTCACATCCACAAATGATTCATTTTGCAAAAGTTCATCAAAAACATTAGTAAGATTAGTCTGGTAGTTGTTCCAGCGCAAACAAAACTGTTGATTATTGCGGGTCAATGCCTCGGCATTGGGTTTAATTAGATTACTCAACTTCTTATCAGACAAAAAACCTGTCTGTTTGAGAGGAATTTCTCTCTGTTTTTCCGGCTTAAATGTAAATAAATCGGAAATATGTGTAGCTTTTAAGTGATTGGGGGAAGCTGGTAAAGATCTAGATTTGTTGAGTACTACTGCTGGATCCAGTTGCATTTCGGGATCCTCTAAAGTAGTAATAAAACCCACTACCTCGCTAGAGGTTAAAGGTCTGGGTGGCGGTGATATATCTCTAGCCATCGTAGGCTTTATGGATGTTACATGGGCGGTATTTTCTATAAGTTGGGGTGTTGTGGGTTTTTGCAATTGTGCCGTCGGCATTTTGTTTTCTAACTTTTCGGCATTGTGTTCACTGCCGCTCAAAGCATTGGCCTCTTGTGCCATTTTACTGATCTTTTCCATATTACTGAAAATACCAAAATCTTCACCGCTTAGTATTTTTGTTTCAGTACTTTTTATATTATCGCTGTAGTCTACTTTCTGTGTAAAATCAATTATATCTTTTGTTAAATCCATTTTTATTTTCAAGTTTTGTGTTTAATTGTTGGGAAATTATGGTGTTTAAACTGATTAATTAGTGTATATTGTCAGTGCATTTTGGACGAGAGAGAGACGAGCAATTTTTGGTTTTAAGAGAGTTTGTTTTTAGATTATTTTGTTTTAAAAGAAATATCTGCAAAAGAAAATGGAAAATTAGTTAAATAATATTATTTTATCTATCTATCTATCTATCTATCTATCTATCTATCTATCTATCTATCTATCTATCTATCTATCTATCTATCTATCTATCTATCTATCTATCTATCTATCTATCTATCTATCTATCTATCTATCTATCTATCTATCTATCTATCTATCTATCTATCTATCTATCTATCTATCTATCTATCTATCTATCTATCTATCTATCTATCTATCTATCTATCTATCTATCTATATATATATCTATCTATCTATCTATCTATCTATCTATCTATCTATCTATCTATCTATCTATCTATCTATCTATCTATCTATCTATCTATCTATCTATCTATCTATCTGATAGGACAACATTTCCAATACATATTCCAGGAATCGTGAGAAATGTTCCTATAAAGTTTTAAATTTGTTCCGATGTGAACACACTTGTTTTAGGAAAACAGCAAATGGGACAATTACAGGTGAATTTCAATTTAAAATTCATTTGTTTGGATTAACTAATTAAAGGCTTCTATAGTTTAAACTTCTAATGACAGCAGTAGAGCCTTATTTGCAAAACAACTTATGTCACTAAAACCTCGCAGACAGAGGAAGTGTCCTCTAAAGAAAACGACCACAAAAAAGTGGAAATTATAGATTTTTAATTGCCCGTAGTCTGTGGCAAAACTACGATATAGAAGGGTTAACGAAAGCCTTATTTGCAAAACAGCTTAACTCACTTAAACCAAAAAATTGTAAAATTAAAAGAACAAAAGAGCAGAGAAATACTATTATAAATTTCTATAATATCAATCAATGACCTGCAGTCTGAGGTAAGGTCCTCTAAGGAAACAACAACAAAGGTTAAAGGAGGTAGTGGAGCCCTATTTGCAAAACAGCTTAACTCACTATATAGTAAAAATATAAGAACAAAAAAAATGGAAATTATAAATTTTCCAAAAAGCACAAAATATGAAATAGACGCCGTCAGAGGCAAAGTCCTTGAGGGATCAACAGTCTTAAGTGTTAAAGGGTTAACGAAAGCAGTTGAGTATTATTTGCAAAACAGCTTAACTCACTAAAACCTTAAAACTGTAACATAAACTGCAAAATCTTGCCGTTAATGGAAAAATCCTCTAAGGAAACAACGGTCTTAAGTGTAAGGTGAAATGAAGTAATGAAGCCTTATTTGCAAAACAGTTTAACTTACTAAAAGCTTAAAATAGTAAAAACAAAAGAACAAGATATGAAAATTATATTTAATAAATAGAAATTATGAATTACTCGCAGTCGGAACACATAGTCCTTTAAGGAAACAACAACACAACGGTGGAAATTTTAAATTTTCCAAAAAGCAAAGTCCTGTAAGGAAACAATGATCTGGAGTGTTAAGGGGTTAACGGAAACAATAGAGCACAAAATATCAACTGTTCGCATACAGAGGCAAAGTCCTCTAAGGAATCAATGAGAGTGGTAAAGACGAAGCAGAATACTTTATAAATGGAAACAGCACTGAAACTACACCCCACTTAGATTCAATTGAAACTGTCCCAGCTGTAATAATTTTAATTTTACGAAAAACCAAAAAGTGCAGTTAATCACTTTGACAAATAAAGATGTTATATAGAAGATTCTTAAAAGAAAGTTAAAATACAATCTACAGATTCTATTAAAAAGTTAATTATAGACAACTAATGTTAAGCAAAGTTCAAACTTCTTAAATATAACACAAAAATTGGAATTAAACACTTTGGCAAATAAGCAGAGCTTAATTTTGGACAAAATAATGGTAAGTATCCACACTTGATTTCAATACTATTATAAGATTTTATGATTTTTTTTTTTTAGCTGACTGTTTGTTATTTGAGTAAATTAGTGAAATAAAAACTGCTGAGCTCAGCAGTTGCTTATTGCCAACTAAATGTATGAATATTTGTATGTGTGTGTGTGTAGAAGTTCTCTGAGTTTAAGGGTGGTTTGGGTGAACTTTTGTTATGCCTGGCTCATAAATAATAAATTTATGAATACACGCGCTTTCAAAAAAACACACACACACCAACTCATACATACATATATAGTATACTCAATAATGAACACAATATATATAAGAAATTTATACATTTTAATAATTTATTTAATTTAATTAAATTAATTTATTATTATTATTTTCTTTTTTTCGTTGTTGTTATTGTATTCTGTGTGTATAAAGCTTTATACTTGGCGTATTGAAAAATAAATTTTGAAAAGTTTGGTGTGTGTGTGTGTGAGTGTGTGTGAACGCAGCATATTGAGCGCCATGCTTCATTTACGTGCTGCCAGAAACTGTGGTTACCCAGTAAACAACATTGCTGAACTGAACTGAACTGACTCGATTCTCCGGCTGTTGGGTCTTTGTTGTCTGGCTGAGGATCTATAGCATAAAGTTGTGTATGAGTTTGTAATGTCTATATAAGTTTTCTGAAATATTTATGTGCTTGTTGGTGTATATATATATATATATATATATATATATATATATATATATATATATATTTATTAATATTTAATGCTGCACGTCATAAATTATACAAGTGTCGACATTAAGTACTGCTGCAATGATGTTGAAACTAAACGGTAGAATTTTGCAGGCAGAGCAGAAGCTGGGAGAGTTGCTGGTGTTTTTGCTTGTTTCTAAAGTTTTGCATTGGTTTTTAATTTATAAGAACAAAAACAAACTAAACAAAAAGTCTTAAACATACACCATCATCATCACCACCAGCACCAGAAGAAACTTTCAGCAACAGCAAGATTTAATAAATTATTGCTTTACTTTTGGCTGCTGCCACCACTAAGTGGGGTTTTTTCCTCCTCTCTGCCAACAAAACTTATAATTTGAAATCTTTATTTTCAACAAGGAGTCTACCTACTACTTCTTGCTTTCTTTAGTTAGATATCTTTTTCAAATTTCTTTTAATAACAAATAAAAGAATAAATTTTATTGCGCGCGCTTTTGGTTTATTGTTTTTGTTCTTAGTTTTAAGAGTTTAGTTGCTGAGATCCTGGTTGCTGACTTCTTAAGCTAATGCACGTTTGAAATTTTATTGTGGCAAAGAAAGTTTTTGTTGTTATTATTGTTTTTTGTCTTGGCTACAATTTATTTTCAACAAAATGCTCAACGGGTGACCAATTTTATTGCCACCCACTCACTTTCGGCACGTACACAAACTCACACACACACGCACTCCTATAACAAAAATATACCCACAACTGCAAATGTCTGTGTAAATGTTTGTTGTATATTTTTGGTTCTTTCGTGTGTTCATTGTATGTTTGTTTGTTTATTTGTTTGTCATCAACATCTCCAGCAACAGCAGCAGCAACAACAACAGCAGTAATGGGAAAAGTTTTTATTGTGCGCTGGTGGTATGATGTTATGGAACAGCAAGCAACACAGCACGTTGTTACTACATTGGAGGGGGGGTTGACACACAAGGAGTCGTCAGACATTCAGCCAGCCATCCAGCTAGTCAGGCAAACAGTTAAGGAAGCAAAGTAGGAAATCGGAGGTTTGTATGGCAGAGTATGTGTAACTGCTGAAGCTGTAAGCTGCTGATTTTACAGCGAAAATAAAATAAAAACTTTTTCTTTTGAATTTTTGTTGTTGTTGTTGTTGTTTTTAACACGAAAATCGATTTTTATAAACAGATGAACATTGCAAAGAAAAATTAAAATTTCATTATGTAAAACATTTCTTAAAATCTCAAATTTCCAACACCAAGTCCTACAAAACTTTCAATTCCAGATCTTTATAAACTTTTAAAATCTAAAAAAGTTTTTTTTATAAAAAAGAAATCTTTAATATTTATATACCTTTCTTGACAATCATTTGTTAGGTTTTTTTTGAAAACTTTTTTTAAAACACTGTTCACTTTTAATAAAAACACTTTGTTTTTTTTAATAAATCATTCAAATTTAACAGTTTTCCAGCAATAAACGTCTTAGTTTAGTTTAAAACACTTGACTAACTGTTATAAGCTGATCTTTAGTTAGATTTCAGTTATTACGTTCGTTATTTTTTTCTTTTAATATCAAACACTTGCACATGCATTTCTCAAATGTTTATATTTGTTTGTGTGTGTTTTTTTTGTATGTGTTATTGTATTTGTTTTTTTTTTTTGTCATTAACTTGCACTTGCACACGCGATATTCTATTAGAATTTCGTACACACGACGACGACGGTTGAATGTGGACTGATTGTTGTGCCATGAATGAAACTTGATTGTGGTCACACAGTCAGCACACAAACCATGAGTTCAGTGGCTGAGCAGCTGCTGCTACGTTGCGTCATAATTGCTCTGAATGCGCTACTCTCTCACTCACGAAGTGTGTTAATATGCGTGAGTAAGAACAAAAAAAAAAAAAAGATTTTAGCTGAGTATCAGTGAGTGTGTGTGTTGGAGAATGCTCACCAAGTCTTTCTATTCTTCATTATTGTTTGTTTTTCTTTTTATCCTGTCGGGGGTGTGAGTGGAAATATTTTGTTTCGGTTTTCCAATTTCATTCTTTCAAATTGTCCGTCCATCCCTCAATATGTTTACTGCTACAACATGGAATATGAAACATTTTCTTTAAATTGAGGCGAATTTTGGCCGTTGAAATTAAATGGGAGAGAAAACAAGAGTATTTTTTTGAGGGGGTTATAATTTTAAGAGAGTTTTTTTCTCATTCTCATAGTTTTTGACCAAAAAAAACACAAGACTTGTTAAAAGTTGTTTAAGCCAAAAACTTAAGATAACTGAATTTTTCATAGCTTCATTAATAATTTAAGTTCAATTTTAATTATCTTGATTCATTATTTAATTAGCCATTTTAAAAATCCCTGGAGAGACTAATTGAAAGATATACGTAGTTTTTATGTCATATGAGATATGAAAATTTTCCATTTTTGTTTAATACCAATATTGGTCCATTAAACTAACCCAATAATATATGCCCTAAGAAGAAGGTAAATTCAAATTGAAGAATTGCTAAACTCCTTCGAACCAGAGCAGATCACAACAAGGTTAATGTTATCTAGAAAGATATTCTGAAGATTGATGATAGCTGCAAGAACTGATAAAGTTAGAAAGACATAGAGCAGCAAACACAAAATTTGAACACATAGAAATTTTCACCGGTGTTATTGCAACGACGGTCCATATGTAATTCCGACAATCTAAAAAAGATTATACAGCTAACGGTGAAACTGGAAGAATATTTCGGCATCTACAATCATACATTTAAGTTTAATCGATACTGTTTCGATTTACTATAATTGCCAAATTTTGAGGCAAACAGACCTATTGAAGAGGACAGCGATTATAAATTTGTTTTTGATATTAATTTTTGGGATTTGCATTGGATGTGCAAAAAATCTAATCTTAGGTCTAAACATATGTCTACATTTTATCAATGCTTCCTCTATTATATTCTTCAAGTGAGTAGATGTACGTTGACATTCCGCTTGTAATCCAAACCCAAAAATTCTATTAAAAACCTATAAAATTGATTTACATATTTTCCATAAATTCGGCAGATATTCCTGCCCATTTTCAATACCTTGTCCATGATCCATTAAATATTTATTATTACACTTAATCGTCAGGTATTCTTTGTGAGATCTGTTATAAAGAATTCGTTGTAACAATGACAATATGAATATTTTTGACAGTGAATGCACTGAACTATTTTCAATCAAAACTCTCAGACTTTAGTTTTAGGATATGGACACACAGTGCAAACTTAGAAACTTTGCAAAAAAAGTGCAACGCAGTTAGGAAATGGTCAATTTGCCACTTAAGTAGCACAACGCTGAGTACCACCATTATATACAGCTTTATTATTAGAACCGGTCTCTACCACCAAAGTATTCTGACCGATTTCCCTCATGCGTGAACGAGCAAAATTGATCAAAATTTTCCTAATTTAGGTGATGGCGTTCGATATCCAATAAGAAATCTTGCAGATTTCAGCTTAATTTCGGTATCGAAAAGAATCGTTTTCGTCACGTGTTTAATATAAGGTCCCAGGATATTCAGAACTGTGGAACTGCGTGTACCTCTATCCCACGCACTCAACACCGCCCCGTTACAACTTCATTATTCGATACATTATTATAGAGCAAAACGTTGGTCATGTTTATTTTAGTAAGCTGATCACTGCTGTCAACTTGATAGTCTAGTCTATAGTCTAGTCTATAGTCTAGTCTATAGTCTAGTCTATAGTCTAGTCTATAGTCTAGTCTATAGCCTAGTCTATAGTCTAGTCTATAGTCTAGTCTATAGTCTAGTCTATAGTCTAGTCTATAGTCTAGTCTATAGTCTAGTCTATAGTCTAGTCTATAGTCTAGTCTATAGTCTAGTCTATAGTCTAGTCTATAGTCTAGTCTATAGTCTAGTCTATAGTCTAGTCTATAGTCTAGTCTATAGTCTAGTCTATAGTCTAGTCTATAGTCTAGTCTAGTCTATAGTCTAGTCTAGTCTATAGTCTAGTCTATAGTCTAGTCTATAGTCTAGTCTATAGCCTAGTCTATAGTCCAGTCTATAGTCTAGTCTATAGTCTAGTCTATAGTCTAGTCTATAGTCTAGTCTATAGTCTAGTCTATAGTCTAGTCTATAGTCTAGTATAGTCTAGTCTATAGTCTAGTCTATAGTCTAGTCTATAGTCTAGTCTATAGTTAGTCTATAGTCTAGTCTATAGTCTAGTCTATAGTCTAGTCTATAGTCTAGTCTATAGTCTAGTCTATAGTCCTAGTCTATAGTCTAGTCTATAGTCTAGTCTATAGTCTAGTCTATAGTCTAGTCTATAGTCTAGTCTATAGTCTAGTCTATAGTCTAGTCTATAGTCTAGTCTATAGTATGTCTAGTCTATAGTCTAGTCTATAGTCTAGTCTATAGTCTAGTCTATAGTCTAGTCTATAGTCTAGTCTATAGTCTAGTCTATAGTCTAGTCTATAGTCTAGTCTATAGTCTAGTCTATAGTCCTAGTCTATAGTCTAGTCTATAGTCTAGTCTATAGTCTAGTCTATAGTCTAGTCTATAGTCTAGTCTATAGTCTAGTCTATAGTCTAGTCTATAGTCTAGTCTATAGTCTAGTCTATAGTCTAGTCTATAGTCTAGTCTATAGTTTAGTCTATAGTCTAGTCTATAGTCTAGTCTATAGTCTAGTCTATAGTCCAGTGTATAGTCTAGTCTATAGTCCAGTGTATAGTCTAGTCTATAGTCTAGTCTATAGTCTAGTCTATAGTCTAGTCTATAGTCCAGTCTATAGTCTAGTCTATAGTCTAGTCTATAGTCTAGTCTATAGTCTAGTCTATAGTCTAGTCTATAGTCTAGTCTATAGTCTAGTCTATAGTCTAGTCTATAGTCTAGTCTATAGTCTAGTCTATAGTCTAGTCTATAGCCCAGTGTATAGTCTAGTCTATAGTCCAGTCTATAGTCTAGTCTATATTCTAGTCTATAGTCTAGTCTATAGTCTAGTCTATAGTCTAGTCTATAGTCTAGTCTATAGTCTAGTCTATAGTCTAGTCTATAGTCTAGTCTATAGTCTAGTCTATAGTCTAGTCTATAGTCTAGTATACAGTCTAGTATAAAGTCTAGTCTATAGTCTAGTCTATAGTCTAGTCTAGTCTAGTCTATAGTCTAGTCTATAGTCTAGTCTATAGTCTAGTCTATAGTTTTGTTGGTTCTTTGTTTTGGTACCGAGACAAAAGACTCCAAGGTATGGTATCTCTAGTATATAGTACCGACAAGAGGTAGTGGTTTGCAACATCTCCAAAGTGAGGGCTCAAGAGGGAGATAACTATGGAACATTTACAACAACGCCATTTAAATAGCTAGTTATGGAAAAAGTGTTAAATCAGTTTTCTTTATCCTAAAGAGGTTTCTAAGTGTGTCGAACTCCTAGAATTAGATATCCTGACAAATTTGAAGTCAGTTACATCTCATCTTCCTATCACAGTTCTGAGGATACAAAGAGATGTTTATACAAAAATGCAAAAATTACTTAAATAATTGGTGGAATTAAAAATTTCAAAATTAGCAAAATAACGTTTTTTTAAACGTCAGTTTTCATTATTAATTAATTACTAACATCGTCATGTAATTAATATTTTTCGTAAACATTATTCACATACGTACCATAGATATACCACCATAGATATCTATGTAGATACAGTAGTTTTCCGATTTAACGACCATTCAATTCTACGAACATCGCATTTAACGAACAAGCTAATTTTTCCTATTGAGTACCTTAAATAACGAACAAAACTTGTTTTTTGTACTCTGTTTAACGAACTAATAAAAATATTATTATTTAAATGAAGATAAAATGACACACAGTGGTATAGGAAAAAAAAAAGAGGGAAATAATTCGGTAACTTCTAAACGGTTAATCCGATTTTAATGAAATTTGGTATGCACAAAGAGGAGGTGTTGTCGAGTTTAGGTTTTGAATTTGGACCTTATAGGCCAACCAGGGGCCCGGCGGGGGGTCCTCAAATTAGGACACCTCGGCTATGTTAAATTTTTAAATCGATCCTATTTCTTCATTTGAGTTCCGATTTAAAAAAAATTTCGTATATAGAATCTCCTCATCGAGCACTATAAAAAATGTCGTCGTAGCAGTAAATTATCTCTTATAGTTTAGGATATATTCGCATTTGAAAATTAAAATTTTAAAATTTTTACCGTCCTTACTTTAGTTTTTTGATAATAGCGGGTCCAACTATTCCCGATTTTCGCCATTTTTTTTCTATTCGCTTAACAACAAGTTTATATATCAAGCAATGAAAGAATTATGTAAAAATCATGACTGAGTCCAAAGTTATAGGCATTTTAATTTAAAAAATTAAAAAAAGGCGATTTTTTGTCATTTTTTTGGGAAAAAAGTATCTTTTTCTTTTTAAGTTATCTAAAAAGTTTCTAAGAAGATGTATATAGAATTTATACTTTTTGGAAAGCTGACTTTACATAAAATACGATAAATGAAACAAAACCTAAACATTTTTGATACCGAGGGGACCAGGTCCATCCAAAAAAACCCTATTTTTTATGGAAAATTAAATTTTGAGCAAGAATTCTCAAATCGCATAGTCGATATCAAATTATAGTGACCTGTTTTATATGACCCAATATGTTCTTAATCATTTTGTAGCGGGTTTCGATAACCCCGCCCCTGGTATGGATATAATAGGCAAAAAAACCAAAAAAT